AATTCCGTTGATCTTGCCTTGTTCCGGGTTTTAATATTTATGCTAGTGCCTTTTTTAACTATCGTTTCGGTTCGATAATTTTCAAGTGTTTTTATTTAGATTAATAAGTTTTCCTTTTATTTTATCGTTTCCCCCGTATAATTAGGTATGAAATATATTGCGTTATTTAACCATTGGTTTTGTTTATATTAGTTAATTTAGGAATTGTAATTATTTTTAAAAAATAAATACGAGAATTTTGTATTTTGTAAACTTGTTTTTCTTTTCTAAACTTGCAATTTTTTTAATTCTTTTAAATGTTATTTTTCTACCATTTTTTTTATTTTTAAAGTTAGGAGTACCTTTCTTTTTTTTCTCTTACTTTATGCATTACACTTTTTCTTTGTAATTCGCGTTCGGTAAAACATCGATTAACGACACTTTTTGGTCAATCCAGAAAACCGGGAAATTCAGACATCCGGGATAGCGATGGTCCCGAGCATCCCGGATAATTGGTTCTCTACTGTATATTGTACAGTTGTATAATGAGATGTTTTTTTTTTTAAGTTGGTTTATTATAATATTTATTCAACACAATACTACATGGTATTTTTCTGTTGAAACTATTTAGGCTAATATTTTTTATATGTAAGGATACTATTTTCAAGGAAAATAGTAGTGAAAACCCTATTCGGATAACTGACAGTTGCGGTTCCACCTTCAATGACAGCCAAAACTTGCTGTACTTTACTAAATTCATAGAGCCCTTCTTAGGACATCAGAAATGCAAATAGTGTTCACATTTGGGATCCCTGAGTTCTCGTCTTCAGATGCCTCCTCTACTTCAATTTAAATTTATAATTACATTACAGTAATTAATTGTGAAGCAACTGCTCCTCCATCTAATTTTACTTAAAATTTAAACAGTTAATATCCTATGCAAAATTTTAAATGAAAAAGATGTTCATTGTTAATCATAAAACTTATAAATATTTCCTGAAATGTTTATAATTGATTTTCTTTTTTTTCCAGAGCTGCCAGAGTATCACCTTGTGCAATGATTGTAGCAATGATTTATTTGGAAAGACTTCAACTGAAAAACTCTGAATATTTGGAAATAGTATCTCCTTCTGGACTTTTTGTTGTAACAATGGTATGCATTGAACAATAGTTATTTATTTTCAAATTGTTTTTGTTTTTTGTGCTTTAGTGAGAAAAATTATTCTTTTATAGTTGGTTGCATCTAAATTTTTGTTTGAAGATGAAGATGATGTAGTGACAAACCAAATGTGGGCTGATGCTCTTAATTTTGACGTTAAGGAACTAAATAATTTAGAGAGAGACTTTCTTGCCGCTATTGTAAGTTTTTTTTTTAGTTCAATTTAATAAACAATGATGACGTTTCACATTATGGAATCAGATTCTGTTCAATAATTTTTTGACTGTATTTTTTCTTGTGTCTAGAAATTTTGTTTATTGTTTTTTCTGGAAAAATAATTATGTTGTTCCCTGTCTTTTATGAATCGTAATACAGTACTTTATCTATCTATCAAAGTAATTAGTTTATTTCTTATAAGATTTTTGAAATCATTTCCTAGGAATAGTTTTTCTCTTTTACTTTCTAGTTTTTTAATTAATGATAAAAATTGTTATCTAGCCTTGATTTAGAGGTTGATTTAAAGAAATTTATTGAGAAACAAATACCAATGCTCTATATTTGCATCCTGTGATAAATGGAAATTGTTTTTATACTGGTAAATGGAAATTGTTTTTATACAATTGGTACGTTAATTTTTAATATTATTCAAGTTTTAGTTTTAATTTCTGAAAATAAACTCTAAAAAATAGTCAATTTAAAGCATTTTACATCTTAAATCAAGTTTGAAATTTTGTCAGACGTTTTGCGTTCTTCATATCAATTAATTTATTTTTAATATGTTAATTGACATAAATCAAGTAATTGCTTTCATTTTTTATAATCTCATTTTTAAAATTTATTACTTGTATGTTTTAAATTATAATTATTTGTGCAATATTTGCTAAATTTGAATACTTTTTTCCAGAATAAATCTATGAATAAAAATCTAGTGATAATAGTTTTATTTCTTTTATTTTTTCAATTGATTTTAAACCATTTCTGTAGGATTGGAAAGTGCTTGTTGATTCATCTGATTACTTCAACTATTTGTGCAAAATTGAAAAAATGTAAGTTTTTAATTGCATTTGATTTTTAAACTGATTATTATTACATATTTTTCTATTATTTCAGACATATTATTTGAATGAAAAGTTCTGGTTTGTTTTATTGTGTGCTAGAAAAGCCATTGAGAAAAAATTGTCCCTTTTTTTCAATTTTTATGAAATCTGGTATTTTGATAAATTTTCATTGTTGCTTTAACTATTATTACATAAGTGTAACATTAAAATCTTACTCTAAAAAGGAATTATTATAAAATGCACCAATATGTTTGTTTCAATCTTCAATGATGGTCCTAAGTGTGGATCTTTTACCTATGCATAAAACAATTTGCCAGAAAAATGATTGTACATGTCAGTCCAAATACTGCAACGACATTTTTGCTTGTGATTAGTTGGTTGAATCACATGTGGTGGACCAATCAGCAGTTTTAGTGCAGTTTTCCTGTGTAATAAAACTCACAAAAAGTTATAAGCAAGTTTTATTGATTGTAAATTGCAGCCATCAATCAATCATAACATTAGCGAGGTGAAGTTGTTTATTCTATGTTTTTATTAGTTTGTTGTAGTATATTTTAGTTGAAGTTTAATTTAAATGGCAAATTTTAGAAAAATAAAAAATTTTGCGGATATTATCAAACATGTTATTTTGACTTGTGGTGAGTGTGATCTTGACAATATATCACTTAGCAGACGAAATGATTGCTGGCGATTCGTGAACTGTCATCGTCATGTTGCTAAGTGTAAAATTCAAGAATTAAATCAGCATATATGATCATTCTTCATAAAATGGGAAGATTTAAGCATAATTAAAGCTGAAGCTTTATTTTCTAGCTTTTTGATCGAGAATAATTGCCCTATTGCGGCATCAGCCCATGCTGGAATGTTATTCCAAATTTTTTTTTCAGAAATACAGTGTAACGTCTCATATCCGGGCGTCCCTTTTCCTTAAGGATCGATTTCCCGGACACTTTTTAACAATCAAAATAAGCAAACATCTCTTCATCTTCCCCTTTCTTTAAAAAAAAAAAAAGTCTTTTGACACGTTTTCTCTTCTAGCTTGCACTGAACCCCTGATTTATGCATTGAACCCATAAATCACAAAGGGGAAGAGAAAATCTACCAAGACCATTGAGTGACCATTAGCGACGCTCCTACTCTGGAATGCAGGAAAAGAGGGAGATTTGTTTTCAAAAAACCGCAACTGCTTCCATTCCCCCCTATTTTCCTTTGCAGCTGGCTAGTAAAAGAGGCATTTCCTGGAACCTTTTTATTGAAAGAAAATGGTAAATGCAGCAAGCTTTAACGTGGAGGGGGAGTCAAAATGGAACATTTGAATAGGTCTAAAAGGATACACTTCTTTGAGAAACATTCATTCTTCCCCTGACCATGTAATATTTAGGAGGTGGGGGGGAAAAAAGGAGGTATCTTTCTTTAGCAGATTCTTTCAGTCATACAAGAAAAAATAAAGAGAACCCCATCAGCCTGCCCCGCCTTTATGCTTGATTGATAGCCAATGATTGGAGAGAAAGCAATAATTTGTCACTTCCCCGCCCTCAACTTGAATGATCTCCTCTCTACGCTTATTTTCTTTCACAAATATGGAGCAAATGAATTTTTCTCCTCCACCTACCCACCTTAATGAATGACAGGAATTTCCCTTTCTTGCTTGAATCATTCTAGTTAAAAATGGCGGATTATTATTTTCATAACTGTCAAATTTTTTTTCGTTTTCTATATTTTAAGCAATAATTTTTTTTTCTTCTAATATTTCATATTTGATTGATTGGATAATCTAATACTAGAGCATTATTCCCTTAAAAATAATGTTTATTTATTTTTGCTTCTTAGATTTAGATCATTTCATGCTTTGTTCCAGAATGAAGTGAATTTCCCCTTCCTGCTTGAATCGTTCTAGTTCAAAATGGCGGATTAATATTTTCATAACTGTCAAATTTTTTTCGTTTTCTATATTATTAGCAATAATATTTTTTTTCTAATACATATTTTATGTTTGATTGATTAGATATTTTAATACTAAAACATTATTCCCCTTAAAAATAATGTTTATTTATGTTTTGCTTCTTAGATTCAGATCGTTTATTAGATCATTTTAAGCTTTGTTTTCCTTGGGGGTCAATTATACGGAAAAATCTATTATACGGACTTTTGAAAGTCCCACCGATTCCGAATACGCGACTTTACACTGTAGCAGCAAGATATGGCTGTGTCAGAACTAAAACTAGTTCAATCATAAGATGTATCTCAAATTCTACTATTGAAATAATTTATCTGTTTTCGAAAACATCTTGATTCACACTCTCAACAGATGGCAGTAATTCAAGAGATAATAAGAAGATATTTCATGCCATAGTAACTTATTTACAACCTGTGGTGGAGAAAACTGTCACAATTGTGTTGTCTCTTGAGCAATGCTGCTTGTGAGAGAATTTTCAGTATAATTAAAAAAATCTAAATGAATTTAGGTGAAACTTAAGTTGTGATACTCTAGAATCTTTAATGATTCAAAAATATAAGTATTTTAACTATAATTCTACATGTTACAAGTAGCAATTTTCCGAAGAAGACTTAAGTTAGCTTAATTAAAGCTAAGAAATCGACTTATGCTTCGTTAAAATCTTGAACTTGCCTGTGTTAATTTTGACTTTTACTGAATATTCAGTACTAAACTTTAAAAAAAAAATGTAGGGAACCGATTATCCGGAACGATCGGGACCATCGCTATTCCGGATAACTGATTTTTCCGGTTTTCTGAATCGCTACAAAAAGCCGTTTTTTTTTTATTGTTAAACCCAACTAAAAAAAAGAAAAATATTTGGAAACAATCTTAAGAAGAAGAAAAAACGATTAAGTAATAAACTAATGATTCCAAAATGAAGGTAAGGTAAACATCTTTCAAAAAAGAAAGAAAAATCCTAAAATCTTATGAGGAAAAAAAACTTTTTTTAAAAAAAAATGGTGGAAAAATGTATTGAATTTCGTTCCGGTTTTTAGGTTTTCCAGTTTTCTGATTTCCGGATAACGGGTTCTGTACTGTATATATATATCTGTTTCATTGCCATTATGTTTATTATATGGGGGATTTTTTTAAAAAAAATTTAAAAAATATTATATATATTTTTGAAGAACTTAGTTTCAGCAATATTTTGTTTATTTTAGTTTTCATTTATTTTCAGTTCCGCAATTTATTTTTTCTAAAACTCAGTTTTTGTTTCAATTACATTATTTATTATTATATTTTATATAAAGATAAGAAATATTATAAGATTATTATATTCTATATAAGTTATAATATGCTTGTAATTTATCATGCCAGTGCCTACAAATTGTAATTTTTGTTTTGTTTTTTATTTTATTTATTTTTTTAACTCTTCAGAATTTTCTTTAAAACTCAGTTTTAAATCATTTTGTTTGCATTAATTTTTTCAAAGTCAAAAGATTTTCGTTTTTTTAAATTTTAAAAAAATAATGAAAATTGTGTGTGTTATTTATCTTACATACTGTCAGTTTGTAATTTTATAATTTCAATACATACAAAGATGTTAATTGGTGAAAAGCTGGTTGCTATTGCTATAAAACTTATGAAGAACTTATTTTTATTTCATAGTTTTCTTGTTATTCAGTTTTAGCATGTGTAATTAAACAAGCATATTGAATTTTTAAAGTGTTAGTTTTTTTTTCATTCTATTTATTATTTTAGCCATTTTAATTATTATTTCAAAAAGGTTTATATATTCAATTTTTAAAAATTTAAGCATTTGATTTTAAAACTATAAAAAGTTTTAAATACATCATATTGATTTATGTCGTTTATTTATTGATGCCATTCACGTTAATTGCTCCTAACAAGTCTTCCTGAAAGTTGGCATGTCTGCCCCTAAAAATTAGTTGCTTTTAAAAATTGTATACCGTATATTCCGGCGCATAACTTGCCCTGGCGTATAGCGCGCACCCATAATTTCTAATACTTTTTAAATTTTAAGATATACTCTTCATATAATGCGCATGAAAATTTGGATTGTACTTGTGCAATATCTTGTCTTTCAAGATCGTAAATAAAAAGTTTTTTTCCCTATCTTTTGAAAAAATAAAAACTGAATTTGACATGTATGTGAGGGTAGAGTTGAAAGAGTAATAATGTGATTCTGAGAAAAGATTGTTATATTCAGCAGTGCAGGTGTGTGCAAGAATGTTGTTCCCCACATTCCAGAAGTAAGTATCTGGAATGCTGTCTATAGTGTATGTCTCAAAAATCAGGTGACATACCACAAATCAGGCGACAAAACGTAATTCCTCTTCAACCAATCGCACCACTTGATGCCCTGCCTTTGAAGAGTAAACATTGTAAGCTTTAAGAATTCTGTGTAGTTTTTAGTTGTAGACATGGCTCCTATCAAACACAGCGCTGGATTTAAATGCAAAGTAATTCAATTTGCAAAAGAAAATGGAAATCGAACTGTGGCGAGACATTTTGGTATTGGGGAAAGCTCGGTGTGTGAATGGAAGAAAAATGAGGAGAAAATAATAGATATGCCTAAGGATAAGTGTGCATTGCGTACAGGACTAACAAAATGGCCGGTGTTAGAGGACAATGTAGAAAACTGGGTTTTGGAAAATCGGCGAAATAGCTTGATTGTAACAAGAAACTGTGTTCGCTTGTTTGCTCTAAAATGGGTAAATATTAATCCAGACGAGAGTGAAAATTTCAAGACTACTGTGAGTTGGTGTAACCAATTTATGGCTCGAAAAAATTTAGTTCTACGTGAAAAAACCAAAGTATCACAAAAACTACCAAAAGACTTGGATAGCAAATTGTTAAGTTTTCAAAAATATATTATAGAACTGCGGGAAAAAAAACTTTCGCAAATAGGAAATATGGATGACACCCCTGTTATGTTTGACATGATCGGTAATAAAGCAATTAATTTAAAGGGAGTAAAATCTGTCAATTTAACAACAACGGGACATGAGAAATCTCATTTCGCCGT